GGGCAAACCTGAAAACTGGGGAGTCACCAAAGTCTGCTAAGGACAGATAAAAAAAGCAGTGAAAAGTGACCCTTAGGGGCACCCTCTTGATCTCCAACTTGACCAGACCTGTCCAGCCAGAAGGACCAGCCAGCGACCCCCTTCTGGAAGATAACACCACACTGAAAGAAGCCTCGACTGGCCATTGATGGCAAACTCCAGCGCTCATAGGATAGGTATACCTGACTACTGTGTGGGGGTGTGTGTGTGTGTGTGGGGGGGGAGGGGACCAGCCCCAAGGTTTATGATTTAACTCATTACAGTGTTTCAATCTGCCTAATAAACCAGAATTTTAAGGATCCCGAGTTGGACATTTGTAGCCAACATTATCACGCTGTAAAAAATGGCTGTCCAGCTATGAAAAGAGCCAGCCTGCCACAAAATTAGTGCTTGAAAATGTGCAGCCTCTGCATAGCTTGTTTCTATCCAGTTTTCATATGAACCAGGTGGCAAAGCCTTGAGGTGCCAGCCCTGCCCTGCCCTGCCTGACTGCAGACTGGTAGGGCTACGCGCCTCTCTCTCCAGTGCCTGGTCTTAGCCCGTTCTACACACCGTCACGAGCGTTTCACCTCCGCTGTGCTATGACACAGAGCCCCAAACATTACAGACACTTGGGTCGACTTTCTACCACCTCTGCTCCCAGGAGGGGCTGTGCTCTTGCCAGCCTGCTCTGAGCTGACTCCGAGGTTGCCCCCTCACTGCAGCTCTGTTGATCTCCATCGCTGGTGTGTTTGAGGGCCAGAGGGGGACATGAGAGTGAGTTCCCCCAGCATAACTTCACTACCTCATTTCTGGGATTGGGACATGCAGAGCAGAGAGGGTAGCTGAGCTATCCTTGAAAGCAGTGCCCATGGGAGTGCTGCAAAAGGTGGCATATTCCTGCCCTGAGTCCCCAGCACCCCCCGTTTGAAATCAAAGCAGGTTCAGAACATGGAAGAATCAAGCACAAGCATTTCACAAATCTGGTTAGAAGATACTGAGAAACATTGTATTACAAATTTGGCTCCTGTGATCCCTTCATTCAGCTCATTTAAATCCTTCTTCATTGTCAGGTTACTGTACAAAGGAAAAAGCTGAACAAAAAATTGTAGCAGTCGGTACTACATTATTGTTATTATAAACAGTGCGCTAATGTTTTGAAAGCAGCATGAAGTTAAGCCGGGGAAAACTCATGCTGAATGTCTGCAAAAGATCATCAATGGCAAGAACTGTTAGATTGCATCCAGCAAGGCGTTCGCAATTTGAAACATCTCTCTTATTCAATTTACATCAACACACGGGAGTTACAATCTCAAAAACATTTATTCAACAACACTAGCTAAAAATACAAATGTTAACTTAATGAAACGCAAAATATATACTGGCTCTGTATGTAAAATAAAGGCACATGCAAAATTGTCTTTTAAAGAGGGGAACACAGTATCTACTTACATATAAAAGTACTTCAAAACAACAAAGGAGTGATACTTCAAATTACGCTTAGTGTTCTTTGTTATTTGTATAGATTTTAGGAGCAAATTAGGTGCTGGTGAAAGATACCAGAGTAAGAGTATTGGAGACGAAATTCCTAGATCCAGACAGCAGCAGTAACATAAGCTTCACACACAACCACCACCACCATTTCCTTTCACTTTCTTTGAAAATGTAGTGAGAGAACTTATCAACTGTTATTTATATCTTTGGTCTCTGCTAAAAAAGCCAACTGCAGCGTTACTGGACTTGTGTGTGAGAGAAAGATAGCAACAGCTATTTTAGAAATGGTTTGCAAGCCAAAGCTCAAGTGAGTCCAACAAAGGACTATCACATGACTGTCTTCTAGTTACACGCACCCCAAACCTAGATTCAAACCAAGTGGTAAACAGCATAGTGGTTTAAAAAAAATGCCAAGTGCAAAACAGTAGAACTATGGATTGAACCTGTCCTGAAAAGAGTACAATGCCTTCTGTGATTAGGTTTGTAGGATCAGATCCTTTTTCTGTCAGAGTTCGTGAAAGAAATAAAAATACGTACCAGAACATCTCTTTCTCTTCATAATGTCACATTTCTAAATCAAGCATTTTCCTCACTTGTGTGACAGTTATTTATACTGTCCCAAAGAAAGATGGCAAAAGGTGTTCGCTACAATGTCTTTGAAGTGGCAGTGATTCAAATGTGAAGTATTCAATCCCCTTTTAACAGGAATTCTGTTCGGTGCTGGACTGCAATTTTCATCTGAGAATAATGAAAAAAGGCAGTCCTGAATGACATGGAGAAGTAAGTCTTGCTAAAAGCAATTCCCCTCTGTTTGCTGTAGGGGAAATGCTGTGGCAGGCAGTGAAAACCATTTAACTTCCTTACCTGGGCCTGCAAGTACAAAGGCTGCATGCTCCATTAACCAAATGAACACACAATATCAAGGAACAGAAATCCTGCCTGTCAGCCCTAGGGGCAGGCACCTCAAGGGCACTGATACACAGATGAGCAGGCCTGGTACATTCCATCCAACAGAAGACACATGCACAGGCATTAGCTAATTGATCCCATGTCTAATAGAGCCACAACCCTTGGTCAGTCAGCGGACAGAACTGATTACACTAATTACAAAGACCCAACTGTGATTTTTTTAGTTGCCAATATCTTGTGTCAAAATAGATGAGATAGATGAAAGTCCCCCCAAAAGTGAAGCTAAAGTCATCTGCACTCTGAAATGTAACAGAAGCACAGTATAGACTCATAGAGCAGGTGCAACTACCATTCAAGCTTTTGGTTTCTCTCCAAAATGTGTTTTTGGCTTCGCCCTCTCTCCCTGAAATGTGCTCCCGCCACAAATACCTCAACAGAAAATAAAATCTGATGATTCATTAATTGACAATACCAAATAAAAATGCCTGGGATAGGAGATCCAGTATAGATAAAGAGTACCAGCCAGAGATTACTATTAAGAAACAGAAGTGCAACAGTTAGCTAGAGATGTACAGATCATGTTTTTCACAGTTCAAGGTCCCTTCATTTGATTGTCCGAAGTGGTTTCTTTTAGGATCAAGGTTCCTCTAGTATGTTCTTACACTGTATGAAGGTATGCTATTGCTACATCCCTTAGGGGGAAGGCTTTTCAAAGGTGAATGTAAAGTCCATGGATGTTGGATGCCTACCTCCTCCCACTTGTGCCTTTGAAAACCTCTCTGCCATACTAGCAAGCACAAGGCAAAAGGAGAGTTCCTTTAGCCACCAAGAAATGCACCAGTAGCCTATTAATGCTCAACGTGGAGTGGCTCATTTCTCTTATAGCAGGATTGTACACGTCACAAAAAACTGTATTTTAAAATTGTTTGGGTGGCAAGTGACAAAGGTCTGTGCAATGTAATTTCCTGCTATGAGAAGCAATTCCTAGCAAGCGCACAGAAGAAAAGAGTAGGCAAAAGTGATAAGTGCTGCCTCTGCTCTGCATTGAATACCTTTGCATTGAGTCCCTGGGCTACTTGGACTCCTGGCCCATGTACCTTTATTCCCCAGAAACCCAGCTATCCTTTTAACAACAGCTTGTGGCCAAGCAGGCAATTTCAACACTATAGGCTTGATCCAGCAATGTGTTCCTCCACTTCTAAGTTGGAGAAACACCATGAAGATCAGCAGCTGGAGGGAAGAATGGGGAAGAAAGACTCAGAAATTTAACTTTTGCATTAGCAGAAGTTAAAACTGTTACTGAAAGAGCAGCCTGGGATCGTGGGGGCAGGGAGCAGTACAAAACCCATGTTCACACCTTCAGCCCCTCTCTGTTATGCTCCACTCCTACCATGTGCAGTTACCCATGTTCTTCCTCGAGGGATCTTTCTGCATTTTTGCAGAGGGTAGTTCAGGGAGGGCACCCCTGTTGTGCACATCTGGCAGCCAAGACAGAACTCTATATCCAAAGGGCTCAATGAAAAAGCAGTTCTGGACAATGTCTTCAAGCAACAGTTAGCACGTTCCATATACAGTCTTTCCACAATCAATATGCTGTAGTGAGGCAGACAAATTATGCCTTTGGGAGGTAGCTACACATTATCTACCCCATTTGTCAGAAGGGGAAACTCAAGCTCAGAGCAATTAATTGACAGAGAAGGCCACAGAGTTAGAGCCTGGATTGGAATCTGGGACTTTCTGACTCCCCACCTTTGGCTGAGTCTACATCATGCTGTCCTTATGGAAGACTTGTTGTCCCGCTTATGCTCAGTTTGGAAACGGCATGAGTTTGTGGAGTCTCCATAATGCAGTTAGAACTGGAGGGGAGACTGGTGGGCTTAGCAAGGAAGAGTTTCTAGTATACATGAAAACCAGGGTGATCTACTCACCCATCACCCTGGTCCTCACCCCACCCCCATATCCATGAACACAAAGGCACCTAAAATACATGCACTGATATGCACATTGAAGAACTTGCACCAAAGCAGGCAGTGATGCACATATCCCAGCCTCCTTCACCCTGGCAAGAAGCTACTTTCCCATACCCAATTATTCCTCCTGTGACCCCCATGTGCTGTGCGCCCCCATGCCTGATGCAACCAAAACACCCAGAATCCTTAGGTGGCCACTTGAATTTCCTTTCTTCACCCAGCCTCACACAATATAGTGCATTATGGAGTAGATTTTATAGGAACCCAGGCCTAGTTTTGAAGGGTAGGAGTCCTAGGTTCATAGATCTGAGCCTCATCAATTCAGAGAAATCCAAGCATTAAGCATCCAGCCAGCCACCAGACTGGAGTAAAGCACCATCAGGAATTACAGTGAACCACAGTCCCTGGACCAGCCAAAGCCATAGGGTCCCAAATCTGCTTGCACCTAGGCTAGCGAGCAGAGGCACAACCACAAAACATCAGGCACAGCAAAGGGCTCAGTTTGGCCACTCTGTGTGACATGTTGTTAGTCTGCTACCAATCATGTGGCACTTCAGAAGAGTGTTGCTAAAGCCGACTTTAAAAACTAGCAGGGAATTGATTCTTCCTCCCTCAAACCTAAGCAAAATTTCAGTCCCAAAAATCACAGCAAAGGGATTAATTAGAAAAATGAGACAATAAAACATGCCATTCCACCCATTACCCTTGGCTGATGGAGAAGAAAAAACAAGCACTTGAATGGAAGTAGGGTGATGCCTGTTTTGTGCAGCCAAGTCTAGTCACTCCTCCTCTCACAGCTTGCAGACCAGATTCAGTCTCTAGTGTCCCTGCCATTTCACACGGGCCCACTGCAGAATACCTCAGGGAAATAAGGATGCCCAGGTAAATAAAGTGAAAAAACAAGGTCTCAGGATTATCCACACTTCTCCTACATTGCCTGTGTGTGCGTCCACTCTCTCTTGCTCTCCAGGCAGGAAGGAGGAAAATCCATGTTTCTTAGTTTCTTGGATGGAAGCAGTGTGACCAACTGCAGCAAAACTTCCGTCCAAATCAGCTTGCCTCTTTGTCCCTTCTCTTTCCCATGTTCACAGTTCTCCACTTTTCTTGCTCTCCAGCCACTCCCTTCTCACCTCCGCAATCTCCTGACCATACCAGTGGTGCAGTTTGGAAAAGCAAGCTGTCTCTGGAGACACAGGGCTTTCCTGCAGAGTCAAAGAGAGGCCAGAGGTGGGTGCTATGTACAGACTGCCACCTGCTGAGCGCCGGCGTGGAGGCAGGGGCGGAGGCTTTGAAAACCCTCCATCCTGGTCACAGCAAGAGGCTCCTGCAGGGGTGCAACTGCTGCCCCAAGTGGAGTAGCCATTCTCCAAGATGGGAGGCTTTTCCTGGACAGGTGGCAAAGCAGGATTGGACAGATGCCTTTTCCTACCCGATGACAATTTCCTTGGTGATTTGTGGCAAGCAGCCAAACTTTTACGAGCATCCTCCAGCTGCCTCTCCAGCTCCTTCACCACCAGCCGCATGTAGTCAAAGCTGGCCCGGGAAAGCGCCTTCACCCAGGCCTCCATGGCAGTGTGGCAGTCAGCGACCAGCACATAGGCTTTGGCACCTGCATCTTCAAAGCGTATGGCAAAGGCAAACTCCTCAGCGGATTCACACAATTCCACAGTGCAGCCCTCCAGCACAACCAGCCCCAGGGGCTCCCGGCTGTCTCGGTCCTCAAAATAAAACAGCAGGTTGCCCTTGAGGATGAACCAGCGACGGTGATAGGAGGTTGTGTGGTGGTGGTGATGGTGGTGGTGATGCCTCTCAACACGCTTGCGTAGGAAGCCAGCATGGTCTGCTGGAGAATCGCACGTGGCATAGTGCACCACGCTGCGCTCATTCAGCTTCATCTTCTTGGCAAGTTTCTCCCTGAGGGACAATAAGAAGAACACAAGTGAGTCAGTTCTAGGTCTTGTTGCCAGTCCTGGGTACTTTCAAGGGGCCTGGGACAAGCTACAAAAGTGTAGCTAAAGCAGAAGGCCTCAAAACCTGTTTCTGTGTTGCAGACATTACAATTAGCCTGGACAGCAAAGTAATCTGCCTGTTCAACTAACTGGTTAACTTATGTTTTATCAGCTTTAAAGATATACTGGCAGCACACGTGTTAATTAAATACCCATGTCTCCCTCTCCCCCACTTACAGGAGCATCTGGCTTGGGTGGTAATAATACCCTGCCTGCTGGAGAGAATGGAAGGTCATTGGGAAAGGTATAGGCAGGCAAAGTTCTTTGGGTAAATCTGATATCTTTTATTAGACCAACTAAAATAGTTGGAAAAAAAGTTCTTTGCAAGCTTTCAGGCACAAACACTCTTCTTCAAGCATACGGAGACTCTGCTGCTGTTATGAGTTCTCCAAGGTAGAAAAGAAGCCAAAGTGTGGGAAGGGTAATCATTAAGGGAATTGTAACTGTACCTTAATTCTGTGTCTAAACTTGCAAAAGAGGTCCTGATCACAGACCAGCTATAATCTTGTCTCTCTGAAGGCCAAATAGTCCCGAGTATATGGTAACAGTTTCATTTTCAAAAAATCGCACTTTGGAACAGACCAAAATATCCTATTTGAGATAGCCACCACTGTTAAGTAAGGCATAAAATCCCCACATTGCCTTTCCTGGAGCAGTACCATGCAGAAAAACTTTACTCTAACTCTAGCAACTTCTCAGCTTGAGGCGTACTGAAAAATGTTTACCCTAACAACTCATTCCAGAGACTGGGCCACTGAAGTCGATGGAGCTACATGAATTTACCCAGCTGAGGGTCTAGCCTCTTAATCTGAAGAACAACTGATCTTCTTTTGACTTTTGCTAACTATGTACCAGTACTTCAGTAATATCCTACAGCAGTGAGTTCCTCTGGTTAATGGTGTCACAAAAGATGTGCTGTCTGTGCTTCACCCTTCTGCCCTTCATGTCCAACCAGAAGGAAGCCACCAAAAGCAGGGCAACAAAAATCAGGGCAGCTTGGAAGTGAAATGCAATGTTGAATCACTCACCTGTACATTTCCAGCATGAAATCAACAGGATTGAGCTGGGTAGAAACTCCACACTGATAACAGGGCCAAATGCATCTCCACAAGGCCTACCCTGAACCACACTGTCAACAGCTGTGTAGCAGAACTTGGTGGAGAGCACGACTTGGACTCTTAGGTTTGGTCTACTCAACACAGTGAACGTTTGCCAATGTAGAAGAAAAAGAATCACACCCCTTTTCTGACATCAGTAGTGTAGAGATGTGGCCAGGCACCCAGGGCAAAGTAGAAGTGGTGATTCTGGTTTCCACTGCAATAGTAAATGCACAGCTGCCAGCAAGCAGCCATTTTTTCACTACTGCATGTTTGCTATTGCAACCCCCTTCTGCTGCTATGTGTAGTACCTTTGCCAATACATTTCTGCCACCAAAGCTATGATGGCAGTAGCAATCCCATAATATACGCATACCATCAGTCACTTGAGCGGAAGGGGAGCACCACCATGCATAGGAACACTGAACCTGATTCTCAACTCAGCCCCTGCATTGCATGATACAGCCATCTCCAGGTACCTAATAGAAGTATGGAATTGCATATACAGTTCAACAGGGGGGAACTGCATTATAAATCAATACATCATGCCATCCAAACAGTATCCTTCCTCATTCTTAAGTGGTACTCCACTGCCAACCAGGCACCAATACCCCCTTCTCCAGGCAGGACATAGGGTAATCCTCTTTCCACTTAGTTCCATTAACTAGTGTAGAGTAAGAGAGTCAAGTCCTGGGTGTTTGTAAGCAAGCAGTCAACACATGAAATGCAGGGGTCATAGGAACACATACATTAGCACATAAGCCTATATGAGTCCCCATTTCTCAAGTGTCCTGAAGTCCTTTAGACAGACAAGGTTCTTTGGGTGAATCTGTTATCTTTTATTAGACCAACTAAATAGTTGGAGAACAATTTTTAAGCAAGCTTTCGGGTTCAAAAACCTTTCGTCAGGCTAAGGAAGTTTCAGCAGTTGATGTGTAGTCTTCCTGGATGGAATGAAAAATAAAGCAGCCAGAGGCTGTGCTAGTATGCATATTCTCCAACTATTTAGTTGGTCTAATAAAAGATATCAGATTCACCCAAAGAACCTTGTAGCCGTGTTGGTCTAAGTACATAGGCAGACAATCTACTCCCCTGAAGTCCTTTATTTGCTCACAGCAACATCTAGCACAAGGCTGGCCAACCTGATACACGTGTTCCCCAAGTGGCACACAGCAAATTGGGGATGAGATAGGAAGTACAGCTGTAGATAGGGCAGGGAGCAGAAAGTGGAGTAGCGGACCAAACAGGGGGCACAAGACAAGAAGGAGAAAGCAGAGCAGGCAAGGGAAGAGGATCAGAGTGGCATCTGAGGAGGTACAGCTCATTTGTGGCATGCTTGCCCAAAAGGCTGGCCTCCACTGAAGTAGCACTGAGAACACCAAGGATAAGATTTTCCTTTCACCACCATCATTTACACAATTCTCCTAGATTTGGTGCGAGAAGCCTCCTAAGGGGTTAATGCTACCCCTTGCTCTTCCTCACAATACATAGGCCAGAACCCCTAGCATTCTTTCCAGCTCTTTCACAAGTCCACACTGCTAACGATTAAATGGAGCCTGCTGCTGACTGCAGGAGGCTGTGCCATGACAGAAACAGTGGGAATTGCAAGGGCTTTGTAAATGGACTGGCAACTTTTTGAATGCTATGCACACCACAACAGCAACATCCCTTGTAGCATAAAGGATGCTGTTACCTCTGAGTGGCTGGCAGTAGTGACTAATTTTAATAGCCCATGGCTCTGAATGTTGTTGAGAAGTTTCACAGAAAGGGAGCATCTACTGTGGCAATAGTCTCCCACAGCAAAAATAAAAATCTAGAAGAGATATGATTCCCATGCAGAAAGGGAGACAAAGCCAATATACAAAGTAAATACCTTGGGTCACAGCCTCAGCTAATGCAACCCATCATAACCCCACTGAAGCCCATAGAACTGTTGGGCTTAAATTCATCCAAGCCCTACTAATCAACTGGGGTTGCCAGAATACAAGTAGTCAACTTTACTGGGATTGCCAGAATATAAGCAGATGGTTACCAAAGACTGAGCACGTTAACGCGACTCTTCACCGCTTCACAGTTCGTCTAGAGCTGCTACGCAGGAGTTACTTCCCTCAGCCAGCCGTTCTGGGAAGCTTCCTGGGTTGCGCTGTTGTTCCAAGTCCAAAGGCTTCGTCCTCCTTTAGACATCCATGCAGATATCTCCCTCAGAAATCCATGCAAATGGTTCAGATAGCAAACAGCGAACACTGACTTTACTTACTTACTATTTAACCCTTTAGTGATGTCACTATTATCAATGCTAGCCAAGCTTGTTACATAATATTTTGGCTCATAGATCCTAAAAGTACAATAGCATATCCTTGCACCTTGAGAATATTTTCCTGTTATTTTCCCATCCCCAAATTAATTTCTACCAAAAATTACATTATCATTTTATTTTAAGGTTCTATTGTTCCATTGTTTTAAATGTTCCATGTTCCCTGGCATTTTACTGGGGTTAACTTTACGCTACAATCACTGCCAATTTTGGGTCATCTTGAAAAGACTTCTGGGAGTTTGGTCAACTTGACATGACCAGATTTGATTTTCCTTGCAACACGAGCTACTCCAGCTTTACAGCAGCTGTGGATCTGGCCTGCCAGTTCCATGTGGAACGACATCAGTGTCAGTGAAGTTGCGCAGGTTTTCTGATGGCACAATGACAATCAGAATACACGTCAAACCTGATTTAACAGTAGATGTCCGTGACAATGTACATCTCCTTGACTTCAAGGATTGGGCCTTCTGGCAGGAGGTCTGTTGCCAACCAAATTAAATCCACAACAGATCGAGGGAAGTGATTCTTCCCCTCTATTAAGTACTGGTGAGACCACATCTGGAGTACTGCGTCCAGTTTTGGGTCCCCCACTATAGAAAGGATGTGGACAAGTTGGAGAGAGTCCAATGAAGAGCAATGAAAATGGTTCAGGGGCTGGGCCACATGGCTTATGAGGACAGGCTGAGAGAAGTGGGCTTATTTAGTCTGCAGAAGAGAAGACTGAGGGGGGATTTGATAGCAGCCTTCAACTACCTGAAGGGGGGTTCCAAAGAGGATGGAGCTAGACTGTTCCCAGTGGTGGCAGATGACAAAACAAGGAGCAGCAAGGGATGGTCTCAAGTTGCAGCAAGGGAAGTTTAAGTTAGATATTAGGAAAAACTCTCATGAGGAGGGTAGTAAAACACTGGAACAGGTTACCCAGAGAGGTGGTGGAATCTCCATCCTTGCATATTTTTAAGACCCGGACAGGCAAAGCCTTGGCTGGGTAAAATAGTTGGGGCTGGTCCTGCTTTGAGCAGGGGTTAGACTAGATGGGCCTCCTGAGGTCCCTTCCAGCCTTCATTTTCTGTGATTCTAGGATTCTGCTCCTGTGTGGCCTGAGTGCTTCCAACCCAAATTTTCTATGACTACAAACTTAAGATACTATAGAAGGAAAATAAAAATCATTTTGGCCTGAAAGAGCTGCAAACAATACATGCTATTTGTTCCAGGGCAAAGACACTGATCGGCTTTGAACAGGACTGTTTCAGAGCCAGCTACATAGGCCATCTGAGGTAAGTTCATTCCAAATATTTTAAAACAATTCAGGTAACAAGCCAAATGCCTAACAAACACATTATACACATTGTGACCTGCTCAGATACTATGGTTAAAGGAGCTACAGGAGTACCCAAGACAGGATTTAGAATTAGTACCCAAACAGAGTAGCATTTGTGACAGCTAAGCCACTCACACATTCCAGTTACCTTAGAACCTGTCAGCTCTTGCGACCCAGCTATTAAAACAACCTTAAAAGCACCAGTACTTGTGGGGTTCATTTGGCAGAACCAGTGCCCCCTGCCCCAAAAAGAGTGCCTTCACCTTTCTGGTTCCAAAACAACCCAGCACGGGCTCTCCCGCCCTCGTGACTGAAAGGACAAATCAGCGCCTGCAGCCCCAGTGCTCAGGAACATTCCTACCACAACAAAGAAGGTGGGGAGCTCACAGCAGGCTCATGCTGGGCCCTACAGTGAGGGAGCCGTCTTTCAGCAGCAAACTAGCACAAGCTTTGACAGTAACCTTGCAACCACAAGCCAGTGCATTCACCCTGAGCTGCCAACATCCTGGGTGTGCCTTAAAACAAGCTGACCCACACACTTGGGCGTGGGCATCAGAGTTTCCTGCTGCTCCCCACAGCCCCCCGTGCCCAGGCTGCTAC